AAGAAGAAGAAGAAGAAGAAGAAGAAGAAGAAGAAGAAGAAGAAGAAGAAGAAGAAGAAGAAGAAGAAGAAGAAGAAGAAGAAGAAGAAGAAGAAGAAGAAGAAGAAGAAGAAGAAGAAAAGGAGGAAGCCTCCATGAGGTTGCAGGACCCAGCCCCTGGGGTTGTAAACAGTTGGGGGGGCTGGCTGGGGTCACCCCAGGCTGCAGCGGCCTCCACGCCGTTCACCTCTACGAAAGAGAGAGGAGAGGCCAATAACCCGGAAACTCTACTCAGCATTTCCCCAAAAGGCTTGCAGGGAGGAGCCTTCAGGATTGGGGGAAGAAGAAACGAGGCCCTTTCATCCACCCGACCCCCCCAAGAATATTTCCCACCCACCCACCCCCCACCCCCCAGGGTTAAAAGCAAATAAGATCACGACGCAGAAGTGGCCGCACAAAACTGTTTTTCAAGATGGCCGAGCCTGAGTTCCCCAGGGCTGACGGTGTTGCTTTCGTTCGAGGAGGAGACGTGGCCGAGAAGGGGGAGGAAGAGGAGGAGGAGGAGGAGGAGGAGGAGGAGGACAGACGCAGGTGATCGAGCTCCCAAAGACAATCTTTCTCCGTGGCTTGGGCCCTTTTCTTCACAGCCTGGAGCAAGAGGCGTGGGGCTGGCGACGTTGCAAGCCAAGCCCTCGCTTCCTTTTAAGCATAGTCTATCTGAATAGGGCTGCGGGCTCCTTCGTTCTTGTGCTCCTGGCTGGGCGTGCCGGCCTTCCCTTCCCCGCTGCTGTTCTCGCCCCCGCTCTCCCAGGGCTTGGAAGCGGCGATATAGTCTTTCAAAACGATTTCCATGTTCCTGGCCTTCAGCGCTGCCGAGTGCAGTTTCTCCAAGAAGTCCGGCATGCCTGGGACGGGGGGGGGGACAAGGAAGGGGGGGGGGGTAGGGGTGAAGAGGACACAGACAGGTGGGTGGAGTGGTCGACGGGGAACCCAACACCTACATGCGGTTGGTGAAGCTGTTCCTCCTTCAAAAGCACTTCGGCGTTTTGAATTAAGGGGAGATCCCAGTGGCCTGCAATCTTGGGGACGGGGGAGGGGGGGAGAGCAGGGGTCGCCATCCTTTTGGACCTCAGGGACCACCAAACTCATCCTTTTTAATCCCGCGGACCCTGAAAAAATCCCCCCCAAAAGTCTGCGGGAAAATTCCCCACGCCATTTTCCCTACCGATCGATCGTTCTTTATTTGGGATCTCAGGATACCGTCTCCAGCTCTGTTCTCAGGAGGAATGAAAGAGAGAGAGGAGAGACTTTTGGCTTCATGCAAGGAAAACAGCAGAAGCTGCAGTAGTCTTTCTTTCTCTCCCCCAAACTCTGCCAGAAACGAGTCTTTCCCAGCGCAGCCTCTAGGAGCAGGAGGCCTTGCAGGGCCCCAAAGACTCGTTTCTGGCGGAGTTTGGGGGAGAGAAAGAAGGACTTTTGCTGCTTTCCTTGTGTGCAGCCAAAAGCAGAAGAAGAAAGAAGCGGAAAGAAGCAGCCCGGTGGCCAGGCCAGGCGCGTGTGGGGCAAGTTCTCTCCCCTACTCCCTTTCCACCTCCCTTCACTGCCTTGTGTTGTGCGCAATGCAAGGGACACAAGACTTGTGTTCCCGCCGGCCACGTGGGCGGCTCAGCCTTGTGTTCCCGTGCAGCCTGGATTAATTGCTTTGGGGGGGGACATTTCTCTGCGGACCACCAAAATTTTCTCGTGGACCATCAGTGGTGCCCGGCCCACCAGTTGGAGACCACTGCCTTAAAGACCTCCTCGTCTTGGGATTTAAGACTGAAGAGCCATCCCGCTCACACCAATTGCGACTTGGGCGACATGGAAAGGCAGGATCCGCCCATAAGGCCGCTGCTGTGGCCGGCCAAAGCCCAGAGCTGCACTCAGGAGTGAAACCTTCTAGGCAACTGAACAAGAATTCTGGGGACTTTGTTCCGCTTGGCAGAAATGGAACCTGAAGGGGCGCCTTTTAAATCTACTAAGCGTCAATAGCCGATTTTGAATAAGTCCAAAAGGATCACCTTCTTCGTTTAACAACCCCATAATCCCTTGCTGGGTGGAGTCTGGGCAACTGAATGGAGCTAGCGGAGTATTTCAATGGCCGGATACTCTTCCTGTCGCCAATGAGGAGTTTTGTTCAGCAGATGTATATTGCCAGTGTGCCCAGAGAGAGAGAGAAATATCTGCCTCCACCTAGGATCGAACTCATTGCACCACTCCAATGAGTTCACAAGGATGCTTGTAACAAAAGGGTGTGGCTCTCCAATACCACGCCTGACCCTGAACCTCATAGGCCAAAGAAGCCCCTGTGATACAAAGCCAACTTCTTTTCACCCAAGGATAATTTTCAACTCGCTTCAACGTAGTAAAGGAGACTTATTCACATCGTCAGGCCTTCAAAATTGAAACGGGGGGATTGTTTTGGATCATGCCCTTCTGGGATCTGAGATCACCTGGTGTCTTACACAACCAACTCAAAGAGTTCTCGTTCTGCCATGTTGGGGAGCCTGTTCTCTAGGCTGAAGAATCACAGTCCCCAAACTCACCACTGGAAACCATCCAGCTGACACAGTATCGAGGAAACACGGTTTGTGGGTTGTCACTGTACGTGAGCAGGTAGTCGAAGCCATTCTGAAACGAGAAACGATACGGATTACTACTCCTTGTAACGAGGAGTTCCGCAGCTATCTGCACGGCGAGGTAGCTTGCCCAATGTAACCCTTTTGCTACCCAAAACAAAATCAGTGGGAACGACTTGCTTCCAGAAGTCGTGAATGCTCCAACGCGGAAGAGATTGTAACAACCATTTTGTCTGAACTGGTGTAGGGCTTCCTGCCTAGGCAGGGGGTTGGACTAGAAGACCTCCAAGGTCCCTTCCAACTCTCTTATTCTGTTACAGTGAAAAAATAAATTATAAAAGAAAAGTGCTTGTTGTGTAGAATGTGTAGCAAGAGAGGGAACTCATTCTCAAACCAGTTTAATGTCATTTTTGACAACAATTGAAGAAAACCTAAAAATACAAAGGTATCTGGCTTAGAGAATCTTGGCCCCCACCCATTTTGCATTAGAAAAAGATGATCGTGAAATTAAATGACCAATGCTGTTGCTGCCCTGACCAAATAGTCAAGGTATAAAAGACTGGCAAGGATTATAAAGATGATATATATGGCTAATTCTGAGGCCTAAAATACAATAAAATGTGTATAATAAGTCAAAAATAACAGGGGTCAGACACACATTAACAATGGTTGCTTCAGCCTCTTAAATATTTCTGCTCCCTGTAAAGAAAACCTCTACTAAATTTCAGATTCCCGTTTAAAAAAAATACAATAAAGGAACTCACCTCATCAAATGATTTGTGAGGATGGATAACCATTTGTGACTCGTAGGTTCGGACACGGACAAATTCAGGATCTTCGGGGACGCCTGGATGTTCTACCGCTCTGAGGAAAATTAAGAAAAAAAAGGATATTATGCTTCCCCCCAAAACCAAACAACCATCAGTTGTTAAACAACCATTAATTCTGGGACTGCAAACATGGTGCAATTCTTGTAGAGTGGGGCATATCAATTTTTTCCAATTTTCCATTTTCCAAACATTAATGGGTGCTCAAAAGTTGTGACCTGCCTTGGGGATTTCAAAGGGTTCCTTTAATGTAATTTAGATGTGCTTAGTAAGCAACTAAGATTACTTAGTAAGCAAGATTATTTTGACAGAGATATGGGAAAATGGCCTTGAGCTTGACATGCCTGCAGTACACAACGCACATTACGCCTTGTTCTGTGCCTAAAAAGTTTCAGTGACAGGACAAAGGAAACAGAGGGAAAGGTCCAAAAAGTGTTTCAGGGATCTCAAATTGATAGGCACGTTGAAACTTGGAAAAAAAAAAAGAGCACAACTGGAGTTTCCAAAAGAGCTTCGCAACAACACTGGCACTCGTTTCTCCTACATCCTTCCGGCATTTGCCCGAGAACCTTTCCAGAAGGTTTTAGAAACCCAGATCTTAGCCGGCGGCTGGACGGATGGATTGGTCCTTTTGACATGCAATGAAGGCGCCTCCTTACCGTGATACCAGCACCATCAGGTTGTTCTCTTGGTCCACATCATACCGCCGAACATAAACGTAATCCCGCGAATACATTGGATACTGGAAAGGGATGGAGGAAGAAGAAAAGAGCAGTGTTGTGATGACCCAAAGGGGCGTGGCACAAAAGCAACCAAGTCACAAAAGTAGGTAAAGTCCCTTTAATTCCTCCAACTTGGCCCCCCAGTGTCCAGTTATCATCGGCTGGAGAAAAAAACTCTACCAAGAACAGTTTTTAAAGGAAAGAAATTCAGTCCGACCCCCAAGTACATACTGTATAAATTAGAAATAAAAACCAACACAAACCACACTGCAGCGATTAACGGGATAGGGCAGGATAAGGAATGGCGGAACTCAAAAGATAACGAAACACACAGTGTTGGGAGGACACCGGAACCCAGATAAAGCGTGACAAACCAAAATAATTTATGCTTTGCTTCCAGCAAGGTGCTGTGCGCAAACACCCTTTTAAAATCCTGTTTTCCCAGCTGCAGCTAATGGAGGGAATCAGGGCCCTTTTCTCCCCCGTAAACCATGTTGCTCCCTTATCTGTTCCTTCCTGCGTGCCCTAGGATGAAGAGGGGGCCTGGGTCTTCCTCTGAATGCCCAGCTGGACTGTGTCCTTCCCCAGTTTCCTCCACAGCCAACAGAGCCACACTCCCACTCCGTCAGCTGCTCGACCTCCCCCTCGGAATCAGATTCTAAGAGGGGCATGACAAGTGTCATTAGTCTGGGTGGCTTGTGACAATGCACCTGGCTACTAGCAGCACTGGGCAAAGGAAGGAGGCCTTACCGGAAAGTGAGTTACCCAGTGCACTACCTCCGAGCCCGTATCCCGGTCTCTCTCAATCACTTCCAGTTTGATCACGAGGGAGTCCCATTTCTTCCGATATTCCGTATCCAGCTACAAGAGAAGAAGCCACGCATTCTCAAGTCAGCTAACCTAAGCTTTCAGTTTGCTGACGCAATTCCCCCAAAACAGACTACGAAGCCAACATCAAAAATCCTGAGGTTTCCTGATTGGTTTCCATCTCGAACTAAAAGTTCCTCTCTCCCCTGAGAAGGTGGAAATAAATCCTTCATTTTCAGGGGATTTTCGGAGATTAACTTGTTAGGCTTTCGTTTCCCTCGAAAGGGTAAGCAAGTGAGAAGATCAGAATTCAGGGAAGAGTAGAGAAAAACGAATTTATTCTTCCCTGCTCTTTTAAACCCAGAACCCGTTCTGCAGAAAATGCAGAAAAGGTATAGAACAGAACGTAAAATGTAAATGATGTGTGTGTGTGTGTGTGTGTGTGTGTGTGTGTGTGTGTGTGTGTGTATGTATGGAAAAGTCGATGCCATAACTTACTGCAAAAATTGCATATAAGATTTGTTTTTAAACGTGTAAAAATTAAATTAAACTTTCTAAAAAAAATAAAAATAACAGAATGTCTGAAGGGATAAAAAAAAATAAGGTAGGAGGATGAAGAAGAAATTATAACAGGAGATATTTTGGAAAGCCAGAAAGAAGTGTTGTGGGCCAAAGCTCCTCCCCTTAATAGCACGTGTATTTATTGACAATTGGTCATCGGACTATCAGCTTGACCAAGGTAAGCAAATTTTTAAAAAGTATTTTTTTAAAATTATTTTTAAAAAGAAAGGAAGTGAGGAAATAGACATACATTACTCATTTCATTAGAGGATTGGCAAATTAGGGGAAAATGCATCCCAATGAAATGCTATTTTTCAATAAAAACAAGGAAGCATCTTGGTGACCGTTATGGAAAACCAGCTCGGTGCATTGGATAGGTCTGTATATAAAATACAGTACTTAACAGAAAAAAAATAAATGGTAGTGAAGGAAAGTGAGCGTTTAAGACTTGTTTCCAGCTGCAGTGAACTATTTTCCAAAGCTGTTGAGCTTGCCACCAAATACAGTAAAAACATTCCACCTTAATTTTTCAATTTTTGAACGTGCATTACCCATTTTAACCACCAGCCCTGGAGAAATGGACTAGCAGAATATCTTACAGTAATTTTGTCTTGATTTGCCCTATTTGGAACTATTTGGCTATGCTTCTGAGAGGGCCCTCACATCCCTCCTACAAGAAGAACAGGACAAGCAGAATGTAGGCTGGCTTCAAGACTTAATCAACAGGAGGTACCCTACCGTCAATGAGAAACAGGAAGCGGCGTGGGAGAACTCACCTGCACATTGAAAAACTGTCTTGGTGTCACATCTGTGTATGTTCCAAAGACTAAAAGAGAAAGGCAAATCTCAGAGCGGGCAGTAAAGTAAACGCGGGTCTTGGTTAGACTACAAATCGTAGGTGGTGGGCTCCAAAGCACCCGAACGCACCTTGCTTGTTAGGGACCAGACTCAAGTTTTTAAAGATCAGTTTAATTGAAAACATAAACAGTAAACAGCGAAGGAGAGCATCTTCCGCTCGTATCATCTTTCGTTTCCTTATTTATTTCAATTACAATAGTTCTGGCCCTCAGATAGAATGCATTCTTAAGGGAATAAAAACGGAGCCGTGGCTGAAATTCAATGCTCCTGGCTGTCGAAAGACAATGGTAAAACTGGGAAGCGGCTCTTAGAAGGAATATGGGAGATGGGGTGTGTGTGTGTGTGGGGGGGGGGAATCTCATCAGTTAAGGTCTTTGTCTAAAAGCCACAGACTGCGCTGCTGGAGCTGTGGCCTTGTAAGGGGCACAGTCACGTCTTTTGCTTCATAATCACTTTGCTCAGCGATGGGAATTCTGGTCCCAAATAGGAGCGTAACCTCAGGGCTCCCTACACGAACTTGTAAGTGATAAAAATTGGCCCAACTACGGAGAGCCACTGGAAAACGTTAGGACCGACTTAGAAATCCCTGAATCTGGATTTTTAAGATTCCCTCGGCCCTTATTAAGCCTTGAACGTGGCTTTGCAAGCTTTACTTTCCGTCCAATAATTATTAGTGGTTAATTCAATTTAAATGTTGCCCATCTCGCTATCCAGAGCGAATTAAGCAGCCCAACTTGGCCAGACAGACTTGTGATCTGTGTACTAAGACAAGAGCGAGTTCATGGAAGAAGAGGGGTGAGGCTACCTCGATACTGGTACATATGACCCCCGCCAACCGGACGCCTCCATAGTTTGAAGTGCTTCTTGTTGACCACCATTTCCCAACTCTGCTCTTCGGGATCAGACGAGACGCCTTGAAAGGTGCTTTCCTCCAACTCCTGCATCTGGTCGTCTTCCATGTTGCTTGGGAAGAACTTCGATATTTCTTGCATGTGTTTCATTTCTTGCACCGACCTGGGGAGGACAATGTTGAAACGTGTCAGCTTATTCTGGTTAGATAGATAGATAGATAGATAGATAGATAGATAGATAGATAGATAGATA